CGTAGCCAGGGCCAGCAGTACATACACTAATTTTATATCTCGTGTATAACACGACCTCCTTAAAATTACCTTCAAAATTAGGTCTTCAAAAGTCGCATGAGACGTAAGTACATACGGTAGCTGTGATACAGTTGGCTCTCTCGTCGATTCTGCTGTAGAAATGCCTAACGGTTCACCTTTAGAACTGAACTGCCTAACTACCCGCACGTATGATTTGATTATAATGTTGAAGGCTTGTGTAGAACCAGCCACACTTTTCGAAAGTCAGTCGTTCAAGTCTTGACCGGCTGATCGGTTGAACTCTCTGCCTTCGGGTGGGGAGGAACCCGAAGGAGGCTACGCCGAAGGGCGGATTCTCTTTCGGGGAGGTAAACCGACCCTGAACCCGTTTATACGGGTTCAATGGGCATATTTTTGGCCGAGCCCACGGGCTCGGAGATCCCACGTTAAATCGGCCTTGTGCTACATGACGCCCTCGTGGGTGGGGTGACTGAATATCGTCACACTTTTCGAAAGGACTGTTAACAGAGAAATGGTACGCAATGTGCCGTAAGTCTTCAAACAGCAATGTTTAGGTTTTTAATTCAATTTACATACTTTCTAGACTTGTTGCCCACTAAGCCTAGAGAACCTACTCTGCCCTGCTGTTTAACCCATAGCTAGGAGGGGAAGCGAAGAGATATTTATGATAAAGTGAGTGCAATGAATTCGGCCGGCATTTGAACTCGGCTCAACGATTTGTCTTTCCGAGACGCTAACCATTACACTATCCACACATCTTAAGATATCAATTATCATTAACTACTGGATGTTTTCAGTGTAACAGACAAGATTTTGTTGGTTACATCCTGGCATGTTGTTTTTTAACGCTGGGATCCTAATTAATCCACCGTGAGGTCAGTATTTTTAAAGTGCGGCATTTCTTCAATTTCAGTAGTTTTATATTTACGTATTTTTTTTTCACAATCTTTAACAGATAAATTTTTTGTGATGGCACCGTCATTATAATGAGAAATCTTTTTTTAAATTGTTGTCTTTAATCTGTTAGGTTTTAAATGTCTGTCAGTATGAATGGTAAAGTCCCAAAGAAATAAGACTGATTCAGGGTGATGTTCATATCAGTTTTCGGCATGTGGAGCATTGTAATACTGACATATCTTACAGTGAATATATTACACAATCTTATCAAGTCGATCTTTGTATTATTTTGTTGTCAAGATTGGACAACAATAAGTGGCCAGCATTCTCAACGTTGTTCACATAATCTACATATTGGGGCTTTACTTTATTATGTTTGACTTGTAATTTCTGCTGAATAGACCTTGGTCATATGCAGCCATTATAAATGCCTCTGTCTCTGCTTTTAACCTCCCACTCTTCAACCACTGATGTTTATAGTCCGCACGTAAATAATGTAAATAATGGTAACTCTTCATCTCATAAATTTAAACAGGAAAAATATGACTCACTGTAATACTGACATATTACTATTATTATTAGAAATAATAATTATTAGAAATTATTAGAAATAATGATAATATTCTATGTAGCGTGTCCCTTCAGAATGCTGTCGATCATGGCTCTCCACAATTTCTTGTTCTTTGTAGCTCTTAAATTTTTTTTATATTTTATTTATATCTCCTAGACCTTACTCTGCCATCCTTTTACTAAAACTCGTTAGGTAGGTTATTGGATTCAATCTGTCCTGTGAGTATTAAATTTTCCAAGCCCCTTTCCTCATTGTGTGCCCTAGAAATTTCAACTATCTCTTCCTGATGTTAAGTATAAATGTCCATTTGCTCTAAAACTTCGTATTTTCTCACATGTTCAGTGCATGGTATTCTCAATATCCTTCGGTAGAACCACATTTCATCTGCATTCTCTTCAACAACTGTGAGGAGATTGTTTTCTATTCGCTACCATATAGGAGGATTAATATTACGTAAGAGTTCAGGAGTCTTTTCTTCGTTTCTAACGAAATTTTTCCGTTTCTTAATATGTTGCTTAGTTTTTGTAAGGCATTTTTCACTATCCCAATTCTCCTTCGGGTTTCAGTGTCGCACTTTCTGGCCTCTGTTAAAACAGTTCCAGATATTTAAATTGTTGTAATTGTTCGATTTTGGTATCCCCAATTTTTAGTTTCTATGTTGCGATGTCCCTTTTGCAAACAACCACGTATTCAGTCTGTAATTATTGTTTGGCATTTTCTTCTCGCTTTTCTTCTATAGGAGTTTTTATATTTTACTTTCTGTGTCTGCTGTCAACACTGCGTTATGTTATGTTGCTAAGATTGTGGCCGCCAATAATGCATCTTGGTAGGACTTATAACAAAAATCTATATCTATAAAAGGCATGATGTGTGTGTGTGTGTGTGTGTGTGTGTGTGTGTGTGTGTGTGTGTGTGTAACGAATGCACGGCCGCAATTTTCGACGGATTTGCACCAAAATTTACATGCACATGCTCCAAGCTAGCGGGAAGGCCAAGACTGACTTTGCATTTCCCAACTCCCATTGATAGTGGAAATAATCGATTTTTCCATGCGTCTACGGCAGTTTTCATGTAGTTTGCGGCCATTTTCTACTGGCCACAGTGAGAACCTATAGCTGGCTGCCACGACTAGGCAGGAACATTCTATTGGCCAGCGTGAGAGCCAACAGCTGATTGACACGAATGTTAACTAGCATACTAGCATGCAAAAACAAAAATCGATAGCTGCATTCGTCACAAGTGGGAAAAATTTAAATCTGCATAGCACTTTACTCCAATTGGCTCATTCGCTTGCTTAAACTCAACGTTGATTCTGATTTCGCAGAACTGGGTTGGGTGTGAAAAAGTATTTGTTGTTAAAATTCTTTTTTCATTCGGTTTTTCCAGTTAGGAGTCCTTTTTTTAAAGCTGATCGTTTTGAGTTCATTTTGTTTAGTTCTTTTTTCGTAACAGAGTTAATGTTTAGTATAGAGCTTAGAAAAAATTCGCAGTGTGAGATAGGCAAGAAGTAAGGCATGTAGCAACATCAACACGGCAAAGGGCACTTCTTTAAAGGCAAGGAAGGGCAAAAATATTTTAAGTCAAGTGATAGCGGTTGCTGTATGAGTCGTACAATTTTTGAATCAAGCACGGGCAACGCCGGGCCATGCTGCTAGTAATAATATAAAATTTTCTGGGTCTTTAAACGGATCACCCAGTCCAGGCTAGTGAAGATTAAGATATACTCCCTTTTTTTTTGCATAATACGATTCGTTTTTAAAATTGGGGTCTAAGTTCAGATAAGGTAATTATTATAGATTTCCTTTCTGCTTTTCCTTGTTGAAACATTTGAATTTCTTGAAATCTCATCTCGTATTGATAATACATATCTGATTTCCTCAATTTCTCGCTTTAATCTTGTCTTCTAAATGGGTTATTTTTGTTTGTTATTTGATCTTATCACTTCTTCTTCCTCTTCTTAATATTATTATTATTATAGAATATATGATAAAAACCCTTCAGGAAGAGTAGGATTCTCTGGCCTGAAATGAGCTAGTAAAGTAGTTTCGAAAAGGCACACATCAATAAAAGGATTATTAGTCTGAAGTTGAGAGTTTTCAATTACCATCTATTTGTCTGATATATAGAATGGTACGTGCGCGCACACACACACACACACACATATATATATACAGAGAGAGAGAGAGAGAGAGCAAGCAATATACAGATGTGTGAGTGCGCGCATGCGTGCGCTGTAGCAGAATATTGTATATATTTATATTGTATAAATATATATTTTATGGAAATCAGCTCACTCATTCAAAAAATGAACAAACAAGCGAGGACACATGTCAACCTATGCCATTTTAGAATCACACCGACGAAACATGAAGTTACTACTCCAAAATAATTGAATTCTATTTCACGTAAATAGATGTTTGCGAAATAGTTACACACGGACATAACTTATTTTGACATTAAATAACCGACCGCCGACATATGAGTGTGTGTGTGTGTGTGTTGGGGGGGGGGTACCATCAGCATCAGTATAACAATATTTTTATTCTCCCGCCTCTACTTCAGGAGTATCATATAAGTGAAATGCCCAAAACGTCCATTAGATCGAATATACTTTCCTGAGACGAAATATTTCAACAAATGTCATCAGGCCGGAAACTTGAGACCTTTTTTTGCTTTTTGCTGTAACTCTACCACTGAGCTCTTCAAGCAAGTATCTGGTTCGTAATCTAAACGTCAAAAATATGAATGATCGGGCACACACCCATCAGCAGAAGAACGTCCGATATTCTCCATTTACTTGTCCGCTCGGTAAAAATGAAACGTACTAAGAAGGCATAGTCCTGACCCAAGCAAAACATACGCATGAATGAACGTGTTTGTGTTTACTGAGCCATAGAAAGGCGCTGACAGACCGTAAGGTTGTAACGCCCAACTGCACCGCCTTCCCACCGTGTTGCTAACAATAAGAAAACAAAAGGAATTGCGGTCGTTTCTGTCCGAGATTTGGGTGGCAGAGATGAGAGCTGACGGAGAGTTTGTGACATTTCCTTGGTGGCGAGAGTGGCAGAAGGGCCAACAACACAAATATTGGGGCGGGTGTGACATGTTTGATGGTGGGTTTATGTTAGAAGGTCATTATAATTCACGTTTATTAATTTGAACATCTTTGAAAATAAATGTAAGGAGTTTGAAAAGAAAAAAAAATGATATTGATTATGTTCGTTCATTGGGTAGACAGGCCACTAGTAACTGTCGGTTTCAAATGAAAATTAAGTGGCCACAAGTCTCTTCAATACTCCCAGCATTCCCGATATTTTTTGGTAATGCTGTCGCCTGGGTGGTTTCAAATATTTTCTTGATTTCCAGTTCCTCCAGATATTTCTTAAGATCTTCGGAGCTGTTCGCAGTATTCCTATTCATGTGGATCAATTCCTTCGACTCTTTGATAAGGTTGATATTATTAATCTATCTACACTTTCTTTAAAATCTAGTCTGTGTTCTGCTGGGGCAGCAAATTCCATTGTCTGGCGTTTTCTCCTTGTTTGCTAACACTTCTTCTTCTTTTTTCTTCTTCGTCTTCCTCCTTTTTCTTTATCTTCTTCCTTTTTCTTCTTCATCTTCTTCTTCCTTTTTCTTCTTCATCCTCTTCTTCCTTTTTCTTCTTCTTCTGAATCTTCTTCGTCTCCTTTTTTTCTTCTTCTTCTTCTTCTTCCGTTTTCTTCTTCTTCTTCTTCTTCTTCTTCTTCTTATTATTATTATTATTATTATTATTATCTCAGTGAGTGCCCACACCAGCAGTACCTGGTGACTTACAACGGAGCGTAAGTAACAGTAAGTCTTCTCAATATTTTAACATGATTTTAACAATAATGGTGTCAAATGGTCCCAAATTTTCTTCTAATTTCCTGTCAGCCATGGTTCTTCAGAACTGTTCCCAGTTCTCCGATAACGACAGGTATAACTGTCATCTTCATATTGGTCATCTTTCTCGCCTCTTTGATAAGGTTGAAATATTAATCTGTCTAATCCTTATCTTCCTGGTCTTTTTATAATAATAATAATAATAACAATAATAATAATTCTTCACTCATTGAGTATTCCGACCAGTAATAACTGGTGGCTTGCACTGAAGATTAAGTGATAACAAGTCTCATCCATACCCCCAGCCCTCTTCTTATTAGTTTAGATGTTTTTGGCTGTGGGTGACAGAGATGAGAGCAGACGGAGAGTTTGAGACATTTCCCCGGTGGTGAGAGTGGTAGAAGAGCCAACAGCACAAATATTTAAGTATAAAAGATTAGGTGACAGCAATTACCTACATTCTCTTACATTTATATCACACAAACCTCTACCATGAGTAGCTCTTGAGCCTTATATTGGATGAACTTTAATTTTAAAAAATCATTGTTCGATTCACTGCCAGAATAAAGCTGCTTTCAAGTTATCAAAAGAAAAGAATTGTTGAGTATTCTTCTTCTTCTGTGCACCGTGACCCTTCAGGGTGTGGACGATCGTAGCTCTCCACAACTTTCTATCCTTTGTAGCTTTAAGCAATGTTTGCCTCCTTAATATCCTACACAGTCTCTTATCTGCCATTCAATATCGTTAGGTTACTGCTACTGTAGTTTCCCTCGGTTTTACATGAACTACTGAAGGCAAGTGGTGTCTTCAGTAGGTCATGTGACTGTCAAATTCTCCAGGCTACTTTTCCCTCGTTATATTTCCCCAAACTTTCAACCGCTTCTTTCTGATTCTCAAAAAACGCTTACACGGCTTTGTGGGTGATAAATAATTGCCCACTCTGCAACGCTTATCCCACAGACGAAACCTTCTTAGCCTCTCACTACTCTATCGCTATTGCCATGCCAGATGTTCAGACGTGTTACATTGCCTTGTTCAACCAGCTCAGACTTCACAATTAGAATACACCATGCCATTGTAAGGATACAGAAAACGCTTATATCCATTTTATGGAAGATAAGTCCCGTGGTCACATGACTACCGTGACGTCACTCCATAAAGTGACGTAAGCGGGAGTTGATTTTCAGTTAGTGAATATCAACCAAACGACCAGGTTGCTATCTTCCACCTAGGCCTTTGGCTCAGGCTGAGGTTAAATCTGCCTCCCCAACGTACAAGCACACGATGCCTATTCCCTTTGAGACATAGATATATGGGCCTTTGGCTCAGGCTGAGGTTAAATCTGCCTCCCAACGTACAAGCACACGATGCCTATTCCCTTTGAAACATAGATATATGGGCCTTTGGCTCAGGCTGAGGTTAAATCTGCCTCCCCAACGTACAAGCACACAATGCCTATTACCTTTGAAACATAGATATATGGGGCCTTTGGCTCAGGCTGAGGTTAAATCTGCCTCCCCAACGTACAAGCACACGATGCCTATTCCCTTTTGAGACATAGATATATGGGCCTTTGGCTCAGGCTGAGGTTAAATCTGCCTCCCCAACGTACAAAGCACACGATGCCTATTCCCTTTTGAGACATAGATATATGGGCCTTTGGCTCAGGCTGAGGTTAAATCTGCCTCCCCAACGTACAAGCACACGATGCCTATTCCCTTTTGAGACATAGATATATGGGCCTTTGGCTCAGGCTGAGGTTAAATCTGCCTCCCCAACGTACAAGCACACGATGCCTATTCCCTTTTGAGACATAGATATATGGGCCTTTGGCTCAGGCTGAGGTTAAATCTGCCTCCCCAACGTACAAGCACACGATGCCTATTCCCTTTTGAGACATAGATATATGGGCCTTTGGCTCAGGCTGAGGTTAAATCTGCCTCCCCAACGTACAAGCACACGATGCCTATTACCTTTGAGACATAGATATATGGGCCTTTGGCCCAGGCTGAGGCTAAATCTGCTTCCCCAATTTACAAACACATGATGCTGTTTCTCTTTGGAACACAGATGAATTGGCCTTTGGCCCAGGCTGAGGCTAAATCTGCTTCCCCAATTTATAAGCACACGATACCTATTCCCTTTGGGACATAGATATATGGGCCTTTGGCCCAGGCTGAGGCTAAATCTGTCTCCCCAGCATACAAGCAAAATATGTCGTTTCCTTTTGGGACGTATATAGGACATATATGAAACCAACACATTTAAACCTGAAGTTTTCTCCGGGTCAGGAATGTCTTCAATTTATATGTTAAGACCTTTCTCTCTGTTTCTCCTTATACTTTACTTTGCTATGCAGACATATATGATATATAGATCTCCACCTGGAACATGCATATATATATATATATATATATATATATATATATATATATATATATATATATATATATATATATATATATGTTTTGTGTCTCTCTAGAACAAAGCATGTTTATTATTCTTTTTTCTTTCAGCCATTCCGTTCCGAGCTGTCCTTGACCTACGGTGTTGTCGTATCACACATATATCGATGCTCATAAATAGAGAGATGTAATTGGGAGAACAAATATTTCTTTCCCTCGCTCTCATTACACCATGTTCACGGTGTCAATTCATTCCCATTCCCTTCGTGTTCCCTTGATAAAAAGCAAGTTCCACCCAGTTTCTTCCTCAGGACTGTTACTTTGTGGAAGAAAACTCCCGAGAGAATGCTTCCCTAACAATTATAATCTTGGTCTCTTTAAGTTTGGTGTCAACCGATATCTATCTTACTCGACCTCATAATACTATCTTACTTCCTCCCTTAAAACAATCTCATTCAGTGCCCCTCTACCTTGAGTAGATCTTGGGCCTTGTATTAGGTGAACTATCAGTAAAGAAAGAAAAAGACCACACTGCAAAGAGCCTACTGTAGTGTGATGTTTCTCAAGTTCGTCTCACAGATCAATATGCTAGTACAGTGAATTCAATTATCATTATTTCATCTACTGTAGCCTTGTGCCGAATTTAAGCTGAACACAGTAAATTACTTATATACATCCGGTTGTTCTCATATTTACTTTTATGACACACCCTACTTGAACAAGACATCAAGTAATACCATTATACTTTGAAAGGAAGTTAAAATCACGTTAACCATATAAAAAGTACAAGTTTCCATTTTTTCTCATTTTTATTAAAACTTCCTCGTTGCTTACATGCTCTGACCATGATATTCTCATCATCCTACTGTAGAACCACATCTCTGTTGGTTAAAGTTCCCTCACCATTTATAATGGAATTGTCCAACATTCACTGCCAGACACGTGGTTTGTCAATAACGACTGAAACATTATTATTTTCGCACTGATTCCAATGATTTATGGCATTTATGGAAAATGGCTTTTGCTACTCGGAAGACTGACGCAACATAATCTTCTAATTATCATTCTTCTGATTTGGGTTTATGTTGGCCTAGACTAAGCTTAGTAAATATCTTATTTCTATGTTTATTAACATCAAATCAATTTGAAAGCATTAGTTCAATAAACATCAACATAACTTATATGATTGCATTCTTAATCAAGCCATATAATCATTATCAACGTGTACTTATTTATATATTTCCTGTCACATCTGTAGTGGAAAGGGATGTAAATAAACTTAGGTTAGTAAATTTATGAGTGATTACTTCCCTTAGTCGATTTAATAATCTATACTAATAAAATTTTTATCTGCATTTAGACAAAATTAATTCCCGGGCAAATTTAATTAATCAGTTCTTTACCTCACGTGTTTCTTAGATTACAGTCTTTTTTGTTCAAGCCTTTCATGTGAGGCACCCAGATACCTTTGTCTATTAAGTGATCATCTTGCTCTTATTCTTGAAATAGGCTTTGTGGTCGTATTGTGGCTATTTTTTTCTTCCGAGAGATATTTCCATTTCACTGTTATATTAAAAATATAAAATGTTTAACATGAAAAGATATTAAGCAAAAAGCGATTTTTATAATACCAGGAGAAATTAATAAATTATTAGATATCACTGAACATATAAAAAATATAAATGGAACAGATTAATTAAACGCTTCATTGGCCTCTAATTTATTTGTGAATCTGCGCTTTATTGCATCGCAATAGCATGCTTTAAGACTTTTGTTTCATTGCATTCCACTATTAAAACATTCTAACAACGCTAATAAATTAGTAAACGTCTAAATATTGAAATTTTATATTGAAAAATCGTGAATATTAGTCTGATTAACATTCGCTTAAATACCATCTTCGATGTCAGACCTGTCAAGTTATTTCTCTTTTAATTAATGTGAGAATTATTTCTAAATGCTAATTATGATGAAGTACGAAAAAGAAACTGTCCTTCCTTCCTTTCTTTCTTTCTTTCTTTCTTTCTTAGTTTATTCGCATATCTATGCAATTTCCTTTCTTTCTTTCTTTCTTTCCTTCTTTCTTTCTTTCTTTCTTTCTTTCTTTCTTTCTTAGTTTATTCGCATATCTCTGCAACTTTCTTTCTTTTTTCTCTCTTTCTTTCTTTCTTTCTTTCTTTCTTAGTTTATTCGTATATCTATGCAACTTTCTTTCTTTCTGTCATTCTTACTGTCTTAGTTTATTCGCATATCTATGCACCTTTCTTCCTTTCGTTCGTTCTTTCTTTCTTAGTTTATTTGCATATCTATGCACCTTTCTTTCGTTCTTTCTTTTCTTACTTTCGTTCGTTCTTAAATTTTCTCATTGAAACAAAGTAACGTCTCTAATATGTCTTTTACGTCTTTTCACGCAATCGAAACGGAATAGTTTATTATTCATGAGATATTGGTAAGGCGTAACGCAAGTGCTAACTAAGAAAAGAAAGGACACGCAGAATTATAAGATAATTATTATTAATTTTTTTTTAATGAAACCATTTAAAACGGTATTGTAATTACCAAATAATAAACCTGGAGTTATCTCACTTGGGTAATCATTTTCTTTTAAATTTCATGCCGAATTAAAATTGTAACTGACGGCTCGATTGGACCGGAAATTTACATGTTCAGTTATCTTCCCTCTACTTCGAGTTTCAGTGAAATTACATTATTGATCATTCTAATTGCAATTAATGCTTGCCTTAAAAACGTTATCTCCCAGAAATAACCCGGTTGACCTTTTTTTTAATGAAAAAATTCCTTTATATATGTATATATATATATATGTGTGTATTTGTGTGCGTGTACATGCATCTATACGTGCGTGTAATAATGTTATCCATTCGTAATTGCGCGTGTATTCGTGTGTGTGTCTCTGTGTTTGTGTGTGTGCCTCTTCTCCTCTTACTTTCTGTGTGTTTGCGTGTGTAGAATTTGAATTGAAGATGGATGCCCCCATGTGCCGAAGTCCTTCGCAGCTGATTCGCTATTAATTGTAAAATGGCCACAACAGCCGCAAGATTGCCTTATTGTGACATCACTGTCAGCCGCTGATAACACCATCAACCGAATTGATCTGAACCCAGACGCTCGCCTCACCCCTTACCACAAGTGCAATTCCTGCCTCAAAGACTTCATTCCAAAATAATCTGTCATAACATCGCCATTAATTCATTTTTCTACTTCCTCTTTCTTCTTTTAATATTTTTGCATTTTTTTCCCATTATTTTTTGTTAAACTTACTATCCTGACATGAAGCCCTTGTTTGTATTAGGGTCATCATTACGTTCATTTCCAAAACCAATGATACTGAGTTCGTTCCTAAGTAGGATCTTTTTAAAAATATAAACATTGTCCTAAAAGTGAAATTGTTAAAAAAAAAAAAGCATTTTCCAATATTGCTTTGTATTTTATTTATATATTTTAACTATTTTCATTTTTCTTCTCAAAAATTATTACTAAAATTTTATAAAATCTACGACCTTGCTTTCATTGTTTTTTCATTCATTATTTCTTTTTCATATGCATTGCAGTTGACAAATGAGAGAAATTAATAAAGAAGTAAAAAACTTCTTTATTAATTTCTTTCATTTGTCAACTGTTTCCTTCGGCTCACTTTTTCCATGTTTTTCTTTTTCTTTCACAGTTTTTTCTTTACTACTTTCTTTCATTTGTCAACTCCTTCATTTAGCTCTCTTTTTTTTTCTTTTCTTTCATTCTTTCTTTTCTTCTTTATTACTTTCTTTCATTTATCAAATGCTTCATTTGGCTCTCGTTTTTTTTCGTTTTTCACTTTTCATTCATTCTTTTCTTCTGTACTACTTTCTTTCATTTGTCAGTTACTTCCTTCGGTTCTGCTTTTTTAGGTTTTTTCATTTTATAATCAGGTTCATTCTACCTTTTGTTCATACTGCAGCTATTCTGTTCGGACTGTAGTTACATTTGGCGTGATCAGCAATTTGAGCAACTTCAGTTCGGGCTTACGGTCACATTTTGCTTCGTTACTGTAAGACCATAAGATGAGGGGAAATAGAAAAATCAGGCATGTGCGATCACATATGGGGAGAAAAGGGAGATCACCGCCCTGTGGAATGAATTTTAAATAACAGACAGAGAATATCACCGGAAAATACGAAAACTTAAGGAATCAGCGCATATGCTCGGCCACAAAAAATCTCCTGAGCCGACCAAGCATAGAAATGAATATGGGAACTATTAATACTATTAAAACTATCTGGCTTCGGGCGGGGAGAAACCCGAAAGAATCTATACCGGAGGGCGGATTCTCTATCGGGGAGTTAAACCGACCCTGAACCCGTTTATACGGGTTCAATGGGCATATTTTTGGCCGAGCTCACGTGCTCGGAGATCCCACGTTAAACCGGCCTTGTGCCACAAGATGCCCTCGTGGTGAGGAGGTGACTGAATATCGTCAGTAGTTCAAGTCGAGTCAAGAGTCGAGTCAGAGGCGGTCTGAAACAGAGTCGCGTTCAGACAATTACTGCAAGACATCGGAATAGTGATACTGGTCGAGACTACATTGTTCTCTCTACTAAACCTGATTGTTCATACTAACACTTTTACTTCTCTGTATATATTCCTGTTTGTAATATATCTGTGTTATTCCATATCCGTGTTCGAGTTCTTCTTTATTGGTTCTACGGTGATAGTCCAATATCACCGTGGTACAAGGAACCGGACCATAACATTTAGTATCCCCAATTTGTAATTTGAATTTTGCCCTCATCCTTTTGCTAACAACCATGCATACTGTCTTCTTGCAATTGATGTTCAGTCGTTTCTTCTCACTTTGCTTCACTATCTTTTGTTGGAGTTTTTGTAATCTTCTTTCCGTGTCTGCTATCAACACTGTCTCATCTGAATATCTTATGTTGTTAAGATTATGGCCACCAATAATGAATCCCGGCAGTATTTCTAATCCTCTCAGAGTTGCCTTACTGTATAGTTGAATAAGGCCGGTGGGAAGACATATTACACCCCTTTCTATTTTCGTATAACTGCTGAACTCATTTTCTGTTCTTATGCAGGCGGAATTCTGCCGGTATAGATACTTGATTATTCTAATGTACTTCACTAATTCGTAACCTAATACATTAAAAATGCAGATGAACAGAACTCAAAAAAAATAAATAAATAAAAAATAAAAATAAAATAAAATAAAATAAAAAGATAATAGGTGGAGTAAAAGGTTGTCTTGATTGATAGTAGCAAACATAGTAGGAAAAGAACAGATAAAAAACGGAGAGATGAAATAGAAGGATTTGTTGAAAAGACGCGGCAAAGAAATAGAACAGTCGTGTGAGGATTTGAGAAAGACTTTTGTTCTATAGTGGCCGAGCAATGGTAGACGACGACGACGACGATGATGGTATCCAATAGTTATATATCTATACATACACACTCTTGCCTCAGTTAAAAAGGAATTAAGTTCTTATTAGTCATCGGGCTTACCTATGTATATATTTGACTATGTCAGCGTAAATATTTATCTGCATACAAGTGAGCGCGTAAGCTGGCGAGTGGTGAAATCACACGCATGCGCAAGAATGTTTGTATTGGCATCATTTTCCGCATAAATGGCGCGTGCTAAATGATTTACTCCGTGGTATTTCTCGCTTTGGAATGGACAAGTATTCCCTTTCTATGCTATAAATTCTGAACATGGCTTGTCCAAATAAGAATTGTGTTGAGATACTGCCTCATAATACGAGTCTTGTCGTACAGAATTATTTACATTATAGCAGACATTACGTGGAGCTTGCTTGAATGCTGGAGTGTAAAAATGTCTCTTTACATTTTTTTTTCAAGCAAGAATACAAGAAATATATTCAGGTTAAATGAAGAAAGTTTGAATTATTGAATAATGAGTGCATATGAGATTCCAAGGAAATGTTGGAAAGAGGGTGTAATATGATAAGTAAGGATTGTGGGGGAAGAAAGAATTGATACAGATAGACAGGAAAGATATATAGAGAATAATATATAGATAGGAAGAAACTAAGACAGGAGAGCGATAAACAGATAGATAGATAGATAGATAGATAGATAGATAGATAGATAGATAGATAGATAGATATGAACAGACTGAGATAGATAGATAGATAGATAGATAGATATGAACAGACTGAGATAGATAGATAGATAGATAGATAGATAGATAGATAGATAGATATGAACAAACTGAGATAGATAGATAGATAGATAGATAGATATGGACAGACTGAGATAGATAGATAGATAGATAGATAGATAGATAGATAGATATGAACAGACTGAGATAGATAGATAGATAGATAGATAGATAGATAGATAGATATGAACAGACTGAGATAGATAGATAGATAGATAGATAGATAGATAGATATGATATGAACAAACTGAGATAGATAGATAGATAGATAGATAGATGAATATGGACAGACTGAGATAGATAGATAGATAGATAGATAGATAGATAGATAGATAGATAGATAGATAGAACAGATAGATATGAACAGACTGAGATAGATAGATAGATAGATGAGATAGATAGATAGATATGAACAGACTAGATAGATAGATGATATGAATGAGATAGATAGATAGATAGATAGATAGATATATGAACAAACTGAGATAGATAGATAGATAGATAGATAGATAGATATGAACAAACTGAGATAGATAGATAGATAGATAGATAGATAGATAGATAGATAGATATGAACAAACTGAGATAGATAGATAGATAGATAGATAGATAGATATGGACAGACTGAGATAGATAGATAGATAGATAGATAGATAGATATGAACAGACTGAGATAGATAGATTGGTAAACATGAATAGATTGAAATCGGTTGACAGATGAACATGAAAGTTAGTTGCAGATAGAAAGGTAAATACGAATAGACTAACGTGAAATAACTGAGATATAAAAGAAATGGTGCGAATATATATATATATATATATATATATATATATGTATATTTTATCGCAATGCGAATTATTTTCTTTAAGAAAGAAGAATGCTTTCGTGCATTTTAAATCTGTTCATATACATACACACACATACACACACACACATATATATATATACATATCGATTTTCCTGTTTGTTCCTTATTTGCATACATGCAAAAACAAACAGATAGATAGATATGAATACACCGTGATAGATAGGAATAGACTGTAATAGATAGATAGATAGATAGATAGATAGATAGATATGAATAGATTAAGGTCACTAGACGGATGGGTTTGAAAACACTTAAATGATGAAAAAACACGTAACCTTCTATTCATATACTCTAGTGAATGCTGAAAACTTCCCTGCTAATCATCGGAAAATATTTTGGGAACGGCTTCTTGTTCAGGTCAAGAACTGTTTGACAACCCTTCTATATATATATATATATATATATATATATATATATATATATATATATATATACGAAGGGTTGTAATATTTGCCAAAAAAAGACATAGAAGAAACCTCAAAGAATCTAAATAAAAGATTATATGAACACAAACGGGGCATTTTTACAAAACCATACATCAAATGCGCTGCTTTCTCACAGTAACGAGGCTGACCACAATTTTGGCATAAAAATGCTACTCTGATCAAACGTGAAAACAATTCACTATGACGCAAATATCTAGAGAGTGCCTTGAACGTAAGGTCATCTACAGTAAATTTGGTTCTTATAACAATTCATCATTCCTGGTAGATCTTCTATTATCACTGTGTGGGATACCTACTAACAAAAGTGATGGAAAGAAGAAGCATCTTTATGAATTCGGCGAGATAAAAAAAAAATTCTAAAATCCCCAGAACCCCTCGTTCATGATGTCAGAAATTTAGTCCTATGAAGTCCTGAAGGACGAAACACGTCACAAGTATACTTTTTCCACTTTATCATACACTTCAATATTGTTCTTGATATATAAATATATATATATATATATATATATATATATATATATATATATATATATTTTGGTTGGATAGATGTGAGTTTGTGACCCTGGGTTTCACGCTTTAGCGATCGTCAGACAAACTGATTAATTTTTTAAAAAATCTGGGTTTATGTAGATTGCGTGTTTTGGTGTTATTGTGAAAGTGGTGGGGGAAATTTTGTCGTTTTGTCATTCATCGTACTAACGCAAACATCGATGTATGTAGACACATATACATACTTGGTCGTCCGTCGGGACTCATACATATATATAAAAACATATGTAGACAGTTTCGGCTATGACACATGTATGTATACGGGTGGTGTTATGTCTATACATACGCATTTGTATGTTGAAATGTTGAAATGTTGAAATTTAAACATTGGAAGTGTGGCGGAAATGTCTCGTTAATGTCTCGTGAATGTATCCATATGTACTGCGCATATAATATATACATAATAATACATATATATATTTATTTATATTTATATACACTTTTCACACATATATATATATATATATATATATATATATATATATATATATTTTTATCTCAAACTGTCGACATGGAAAAGCACAAAACTTTTAACATCGACCAACTCATTTAGAAACTGAAAAATTTTCTTACTGAAATGCATTGATGAAAAAGTCATCCCACGATACACACACAAAATACTTAGAACATCGCATCACATTTTTCCAACATACGCATGCGATTTTCTAAAAGCATCTGATATATATATATCTATTATCATCCACAGACAGACTGTTTCGCTGTATCACAGCTCATCAATGTGGCTAGACATTCAAATGCCTCAAGCCGGGATCGAAACCCGACTGATTTGGCATCATTCGTAGATTTTATTCCCAAGCTATCAGTAGAGGGAAGGTGAATTTTTGCGTATTTATTCATATATATATATATATATATATATATATATATATATATATATATATATATATATATATATATATATATATATATATATATATATATATATATATATATTTTTCTTCACGTCTATCTATCTAGTTCTACTCCCCATTCTTTACCAAAATATCATATTTTTTGTGGGTAAGACTACTTGGGCATGTTAGGAATTGTCGAGCACCAATTTCTATCTATCTATCTTGTAAAAATATATGCATATTTTCTGTAATTGGCGGCTGTAATTATTAAAATGTTAATGACTTAACTGGAATAAACGCTGTAATAAACTTAAGAAAGGGAACTATGTTTATATTTAAATGCTGCTTGGAGTCTTTAAATGTCTTCTTGTTTTAATGTATAAAGGAAACGCAAGCATTTCTGAACTGCAGTAACCAAAAAGAAGAACCAGTCAATAGAATTGTATGCTGTCAAGCCGCAGGTTTTGTATCAGGAATTTCCTTCTCCAGGTTAGATACCTCCCAGTGCGACTGGATATCAACATATACATTTCTACATCCCCAAGGCTTTTATCGTATTTTAGGAATAAACGCTGTCTTTGCTCAGAGAGTGGGACTGACAGAGTACAATGTTCTTATCTATTAAAAAAACAACTTTTCAGTATCATTTTTATGTAGATTTAATCACTAAAATCTATGTTAATGAGAAATTAATTAAATGTCTTAATAAAAAAGATGTTAATGAAGGCATCACCTAAAGTATCTCCTGTAATTGTACAACTGCAGTTCAAAAATGCTTGTTTCCTTCATGCATTAAAGCAAGAGGACATTTAAAGACTCCAAGCAGCATTTAAATATAAACATAGTTCCCTTGCTAAAGTTTATTACAGCGAAAATTCCAGTTAAGTCTTTAAAATTTTCATAACTATAGCCGCCATTAAGAAAATATGTATACATTTTTTCAACATAGATAGATAGATAGATAGATAGATAGTTATGAACAGACTGAGATAGATAAATGGATAGATGAACAGACTGAGATAGATAGATAGATAGATAGATACATAGATATGAACAGACTGAGATAGATAAATGGATAGATGAACAGACTGAGATAGATAGATGGATAGATAGATAGATAGATAGTTATGAACAGACTGAGATAGATAAATGGATAGATGAACAGACTGAGATAGATAGATAGATAGATAGATAGATATGAACAGACTGAGACAGATAAATGGATAGATGAACAGACTGAGATAGATAGATAGATAGATAGATAGATAGATATGAACAGACTGAGATAGATAAATGGATAGATGAACAGACTGAGATAGATAGATAGATAGATAGATAGATATGAACAGACTGAGACAGATAAATGGATAGATGAACAGACTGAGATAGATAGATAGATAGATAGATAGATATGAACAGACTGAGATAGATAAATGGATAGATGAACAGACTGAGATAGATAGATAGATAGATAGATAGATAGATAGATATGAACAGACTGAGATAGATAAATGGATAGATGAACAGACTGAGATAGATAGATAGATAGATAGATAGATATGAACAGACTGAGATAGATAAATGGATAGATGAACAGACTGAGATAGATAGATAGATAGATAGATAGATAGATAGAAATGGGTTCTCGATATATCCTAACCTGTCCAAATAGCCTTACCCACAAAAGTTATATAAAGGCTGGTCACTTGTATCCGAAGATGTCCGTCTACTAGGGAGTCTAGCCTCCCTCAGCCAAATTTGTGTTTGTTCAACATCCACAGAGCCAACCTGTGGTTTATACTGCAGTTATGTTGAGTGGACCATAGTTACAGTTTCTGGGTGAGAGCGCGTTGTCTTGTGGGATCAACAGTTTAACCAAGGCCAGCACGCTCAATCCTTTTAGCACAAGCATCGACTGCTTCCCAAAGTTTTCGGCCTATCAAATTTCACTAGGGTCAACTCGTGGTATGGTTCTCATTGGTGCTGCACACTGGAATCGCCAGACAGAAAAATCGACCATGGTGAGATTCGACCCCGGGTTTCATGGTCGACAGAAATCTAACGTTCTAAACACTCGGCCACGTCCCTAAACACTTCTTCAAATCTGATCAAATGACTAAACATCAAAATTTTTTACGGTCATCTCTGCCTTGTACCTTTTTTTTTTTGGTCGGTTGGAGGTTCATTCACTAACCCTTCGTATATCTATCTATCTATCTATCTATCTATCTATCTGTATGTGTGTAGTTGTATATTTAGGCCGCAATCCCTCTTCAATACCTGTTTCATTGAACATGGCTGACAAAATACTTTTGTTTATTTATTTATTATATTTCTTGAAATGGCCATGCTCAAAAGGTATATATTAATCTATAATACGTACGAATTTTTCGATTTACTATTTTATGATAAATACTTTTCTGAAGTGGATGCCAATAAATATCGAAACTCTATCATCATGGTTTGGCTTCGCAAAATGAAGATCAAGAGGGAGTCTGTACACGTCGCTTGCAGGCACGTTTGTGACTGATAAGTCCAATGCGGGAACAGGCATACACGGTCGCAGCAGTTGCTGCTAAAAGTCTGGTCTGGACTCGACGGCATAGCATTGCAGTACTTCCCCTTCTGCCTCTCGTCCCTGAGAGCCGCCCTGCAGGTAATTTTAAAGGAGACAGCATGGTTGGTGGTGAGACGCCAGGCGTCACGGTTCTCAGCTAGGGTTGACCATTGCCAATGGTTGATGTGATAGACACCAAAGGATAAAAAAAACCCTCTTTATTTTTCATTATTTACATTATTCGGACTATTGTCCTCATCTTTGTCGCCATATTTATCACAACGATACAACTGAACCCTTTATTTCGCTCACTGGGGTAGACTGTTCAGTTCGAAATTCCAACCACCTGAAGAAGGCCGGAGCGTACAACGGCCGAAACGTTGTGATAAATATGGCGACAAAGATGAGGACAATAGTCCGAATAATGTAAATAACGTACATAATACCTCATCTCAGAAATATAGACAGACTCTTTATTGTTTGTTAAGAATTCTTTTAACGCAGGTTTTCAGGCTGCATTTAAGAATGCCAAATACGTTGGTTTACTGTCTCGTGCGAGACAATTTTTTTTTCCAGAATCTATCTTACTTATCTCTAAGTCTATCATTCGTCCATACTTGGAATATTGCTGCCACATATTAGTGCCTCTACTATTTTACTTGAGCTACTTGATAAAAAGAAGAATCAGCAATATTTTTGGTCCTGATCTGGTGGCTTGGCTTCAGTCAGGGCCGTAAGGTTGCCTCTCTGTGCCTTTTTCTATAAATACTTTCATGGCAATTGTTTGGATGAGCTCTTCGCTCTGGTATCTAGACTTTATGAATTTAAGTGCAGTACCAGATTAGCGTCGAGAGCTCATCAATTTACAATTGAGCTGGCAAGATGTAACCGTAAATTCTATGCTAACAGTTTCTTTTCTCGCATTTCTCGCTTGTGGAACTCCCTTCTGGCGCCATGTTTTCTAGCCAACTTTAATCTTCAAAAATTTAAATGCAGTGTCAATCGCTATTTACGGTCCTCCTGATTACTCTTTCCTCTTCCTGCTCATTATTAATGTTTCTGTTCCTAATTCTTCTACACCCTGTAACTCCTTGTGTTTTAGTGGTTTTACTGCATTGCATGGGGTGATATCGATTAAAAAAATCCATTGGTTGCATTTACTTGAGAAATAAGAGCGAGAATTAAAAAAAAAGTAATCTGAATATATTCTTGACATGTTTTTCCTTTTATATTTCATAGGTACAAGGCAGAGATGACCGTAAATGCTCCTCCGGAAACAGTGTTTGAGTACATAGACCCGTGGCCCGACTCACCCAGACTTAAATGGGACAGTAGAATGAAGGGCCTTGAGACACTAAAGAAGTTTGACAAGGTAAAGTTCAGAAAATTCAATCAATTTTCAATTGGATTCATGATATGCATCTTTACATTGATTCTAAGCACTTGATTCTTTCGGGTAGATGAAACTCGACAACCCAGGAAGGCAACCCATCTAGGAAAAGGGAAACCCTGATTTTTAAACCTCTATTGCCTTACGGTCATATCCAAACACGGAAAAGGCTATGGAAGTAGGTCCAGACAGAAAACCAGGAGTAGATCCCCGAAGGCAACTTTCCTGCAACCTCTGCAGCCAAGCTGTCCCCAAATATAATGCTCTGTATTTCTTTGTATCTTATCAGTATGGCTGAGATGGGACCATATAATCTTGGCATCGCACGGCATCTATATAACAACTCCCAACCCTGCGTCCTGGAGAGATCACTCCAATCTCACCACCAAATGGCGCCAAACAGCGCTACCTTTAACTCACTAGATAAACGGATGCTTACTACATAAACACTTGCTTCTACTGACCTTTTATTTGTAGAATGTTATCACTCCCCACAAAAAAAAAACAAAAAAAAAAACAAACTAAAAATGAATAAAGAATGGAGGTAACACAAGATTTTCAATCAAGGTTATTAACTAATAACGATATGTAATGGTAATGGTTAGATATCCGTTTCCATACAAGCGTTATTGTCGGCTGAAATTTATAAAACCTTAAAAAAGGTTTTCAGGAAAGGAAACTTCTTAAATCCACTTTTATCGCTCTTTCTAGTCTTGGTAGAAGCTTCCTTCCAAACCATTTATTTAAAGTTGCGAAGAAGGCTGAAGGCTTTATTATATCATTAATTTCTTTTACGAGTTACCCATTTTTTTAGTTGTTGCTGTTGGCAGTGTTCAAGTGATGTGGTTTTTATTAGTTGGTAATGCTCTTTGTTTATGATTATGGTTGGTGCATAAATACTGATAGTACTACAGGATTTACAATTTAATCCTAAATACTAACTTGGTTGAAAGGTGTTTCATTGAAATCTATAAAGGAAAGGAAACAATGACTTCCAGCCCGACTAAAACACTATTCTACATTTGTCTGTTTTATGTATGTATGTATGTATGTATGTATGTATGTATGTATGTATGTATGTATGTATGTATGTATGTATGTATGTATGGGATCGTGGCTGAGTGGTTAGAACGTTTACTTTCTGATCATGAGATCCAGGTTCGAATTTCAGCATAGTTGATTTATCAGAGATGTTAGCGGAGGCGAGCCCACCGTTAGAAAGTGCGTGAAAACTATAACACGGGTTGACCTAAGAGTGAAATTTGATAGACGGAACTACTCAGGAAACGTCGATGACACCGTGACCGAAGGTTTGAGCGTACTGACCTGGTTCAAAACATCGATGAAGGCAGATGATGCGTTCTCTGAAAAGACCCGTTCAACATAGTTGCAGTATAATCTGAGCAGGCGTCTACAGCAGGGATTGGCTAGCCGCTCTACCAGAAGGATGAGCTCGCAAAAAGATAGGAATTGGCTATTTATGTGTGTAAGGTGCATTTGAGCAGCAAGAATTCATCCAAATAAATTTTGTTAAATTCAACCGACTGTCTTGACCCATATCAAATGCTGTCCTGCTCTCACTACAAAGAAAGGCTCAAAATCCATAATGTCAAGCATAAAAAGACGGGTCAAATAAATCCTGTTTGTCAACAGTGTAAAACGTCTTAAGAGTCATTGCAGAGTCCATGAACGGAAATCGGATCAGATGTATAGCTATGAAATATGCGTTTGCAATCAAGTGTACAGCTGTTAAACACAGCCACACACACACACACACATACATATATATAAAATATATATAATATAATATATAAAATCCAAATTGTAGGTCTGATGAATTGGATCGTGATTACGATTCTAGTGTAATAAATTATAATCACGGAATATTAGTGTTTGAGCCTTTTATATTATATTTTTACTCTGTCCTGGACATTGAGTTCTACCTGGATTCTATCCTCTTGGGAATTTATATATATATATATATATATATATATATATATATATATATATATATATATATTGACCACTAATATTATCTATCTATCTATCTATCTATAGAGAGAGAGAGAGAGAGAGAGAGAGAAAAAATAGTGGCCCGAAGTTAGGAATCGTGGAGCTGGGTTTGAATTCTAGTCAAGTTCATTAGTGTCACTTACGCGCAAATACACTTGGAAAATGTATGAATCCAGCTATGAGCAAATAGCAGGACAGACTTGGTCCTCTAGCCTGAGGTGGGAACCGGTCTAGGAGAAGGACGACTCTGTTCAAAACCTCCAGCTATGAGCTTTAGCCTCACCAACTCGCAATTGGCTAAGCATGGTGAGTAACGTTACATGCCTGAAGACAAGTTCAATCAGGGAGAGAGTGAAGTGGACGCTGATTTATATATATATATATATATATATATATATATATACATATATATATATATATATATATATATATATATATATATATGTGTGTGTGTGTGTATGTTTGTGTGTGTGTGGTAACTGTGTGTGTGTGTTGTTTAAATTTTTGCTCTATTTTTGCTGAAGTAAGCTCATTATCCGAAACGGAGTGTATGTAGATATAAATAGCGTCGGCATAGAAATCAATCATACCACATTGCTTAAATCGTGAAACTGCCAGTCACCATGCAGTGTTGATTTCAACCTTTATTATCTATCTATCTATCTATCTATCTATCTATCTATCTATCTATCTATCTATCTGTGTGTGTTTGTGTGAGTTGCTGCACAAACGTTCTAGGAAAGACCGTGAAAAAATATACTCTAATGCCCAGTTTTCACCGTCTCTTTCGAAGCATTACCTGCTGTGTGCATCTTAGTCCATCTGTGCATCTCGAACAGCGCGTGCAGATAGAATGTAGCTACATTCTGTCTGCACGCGCTGTTCAAGATCCTTGAAACACCTTGCATATACATACATACCCCCTTGGCTAATCCTGCGACATCTGATTCTGGAGGCCGTTAACGCTCTAAACTTCGATCGTTAAGCAGTCTGCCCCGGATTGACATGCACCTGAAGAAGGCCGGAGAGCATAACGGCCGAAACGCTGTGATAAGAACAATAAAGATGAGGGCAGTAGTCTGCATGTAAATAATGCAAGTAATGATGATAGCTCCTCAACCCAGAAATTCAGACAGAAATCTTAGAGTTATTTATTTATTTATTACGACTTATATTCATGAAGTTTTCCATCAATGACCAGACAGACTTTTCAGCTACTTTTATTTATATTTTCATTATCTTTCGGGATTTCCCGTATATATTCTTGTATAAGTCGACTTCATGTATAATACAACCCTGGAATTTGTTTGCATTAAAAAGGAAAAAAATTACCTGTGTATAGTGCAGCTGGTCACTGAAAATGCATGATTTTTAGCCTCTACAAAAAAAAAAAAAAATTAACTGTGTAAAGTGCAAGCCTCTACTTTAGGCGTAAAAGAAAACTGATAATAAAAAAACGCACTATACTAGTGACTAATAATTAGTGACTTTTAGTTGATATCTTTATAGCGTTTTGTCAAGTATTAGGTTGGTGTAAAAATAATGACGTAATAATGTCGTTTTTTGACGTACTTTTCTACGTCAAAAAACGACATTCTTACGTCATTATTTTTGCACCAACCTAATAATAGCTTAAAATAACTTTGGCAGGAGACATCCGGAATCGAAACCGTTATGTTAGTTTTCGTGTGAAAATGACGGAAACTATTAGTTTAAATCCTGGAACCAAAAACAAGCTTGCGTTAAATTAGGCACAAGGATGGGAGGGGTGGTCAAGCGGTAAGTATGAAACTCACTTTTTAGTAATAATTGCGAACCAAACTCGCTAACCATTATCCAACGTCAAGGCACTCTTTGATTTAAATCCTGCCGAGAGCAATCACTTCAGAAATTGATTCTCAATCATTTCGTTTTATCTGCTATCGTTCTCCCACTTCAATGCCTTTTCTTCATATTTCATCATCGCTTTTTTTTCTTCTTCCTATTTTTTCTCTATCTCCTTACTCTCTACTCTTCTTCTTATTCTTCATACACTATCTCGTCACTGTTTCTTACTACATCATCATCATCATTTTCTTCTTCGTCATTCATTATCTTGTCACTGCTGCTTATTACATCATCATCATCATCGTTTTCTCCTCCATTTACTATCTCTTCAATGCTTCTTAGTACGTCGTTATCATCATCATCTTCATAATAATCCCCTTCCGCTTTATTCACTGTTTTCTTCATTCACTATCTCGTCGCTGTCTCTTACTACATCATAATCATCATCGTTTTCTTCTTCTTCTTCTTCATTCACTGTCTTCTCTATTCCCTATCTTATCACTGCTTCTTACTACATCCTCATCATTTTCTCTTTCTTCTTCATTCACTGTCTTCTTCTTCATTCACTATCTCGTCACTGTCTCTTACTACATGATCATCATTTTCTCTTTCTTCTTCATTCACTGTCTTCTCCATTCCCTATCTTGTCACTGCTTCTTACTACATCATCATCACCATCATTTTCTTCTTCATTCACTGTCTTCTTCTTCATTCATTATCTTGTCAATGCTTCTTATTACATCATCATCATCTTTTTCATCTTCACCATTTACTATCTCTTCAATGCTTCTTACTACGTCGTCGTCATCATCATCATCATCATCATAATAGACTTTTTCGTTCGCTATTTATCATGCCACTTATTAGTAACTTTACAAGCTAGTGACTAAACAACTTACTATTAACACGGACTATAAAATTTCTGAAAACGTTTTAACTACCTTTTCCTTTTCTCTAACTAGAATCGACAGATTTATTCAAAGAGACAAACACACTAACCAGGATAACGACACACTAACCAGGATAACGACACACTCACTTTTTTTTAAGTATTTCTGTTTTTCTGACAACATTTATTAATTAATACTCAGCTTTCTTTCTTTTTTTTTCTTTTTCTCGTTTTGTTTTGCATCCGTGCGTCACCTGAGCAGAAGTAAACGCTGACAAGTTTGAGTGACAGTCAGGTATCGGCCCACAGAGTTCGAAATGCGGACAATCAAAAATAATAATAATCGCGTCTGTCAGCACTTCAAAGACGAAGTGTCCTAATGTCTGTACCCTGCGGGTGGAATATTTTGCGCGCTTTCTCTGACCCGATTCTTAGGATGACGTGAGTTATATGTCCTCTAGTATTGGATGGTAGATGATCTTTTATTTTCACAAATAAGATCAGAATGGGTACAATGAAAACGAGAGGGGATCTAGAAAAATACTACATATATATATATATATTCTTTTTATAGATACAAATATTTAAGTAAATGCTCTGCTTTATAATAAACAGTATTAAACAACATTTACCTGCCCGAATGTCCGAGAAATTTTCATAGAATATATTCGTCCTCCGATAGGAATCGAACCTGAATCCTATACGGAACCGTCATATAGCCTGACGTGCCTTAACCGATTGGGCTACAGAGAATCGTTCGTTTAGCAAGGTTGATTTTACTGCTTTTAAACCACAATCTTCCATGATTCTCTCACGTGCATTCATATCTGCTCATATCCAAATGTAAACAAATGACGTCACTCATTATGAAATGGTCAAAGCAGATATGAATGTGCGTGAGAGAATCATGGAAAATACATTGTGCTGACTGATGGCTAAAAATGGCAATAATATCAGCGATTTCAAAAAGAAAACACTTTTAGTCAATTTAAATGTTTTTGGAAATACAACAAAACATTTTGCTCAATGGAAATATTAAATTTAATGTATAAGCTTGAAATTGAAACTAAAATAAATGCTTTAAGGAAGATTTTTCATTTAAAAAAAATTTATTTAAAACCTTATATATCGCGTTTCTTTAGAGATGCCTATATAGTGTACTTGGGCAGCAATGTTTAATTTATGCAAGTTTGGTCAAAGACCAATGAAAGTTCTTTGTTAAGGATATTTTTCTATATTCCGGAACATATTTTTTATTTCCGATAGAAGATGAAATATAAAGCCGAATATATTCAGACGTTGAATATATATATATATATATATATATATATATATATATATATTATTATTTTTATTTAAAAATATATTACATTGCTTCATAAAAATTTCTGTGTAGCGATGTAATATATTTTTTAATTAAAAAATAATATTTTGGTCTAGGTTGTATCGAGTACTTTTTTAAATGGTAAAGGACTGTGGATTCTAAATCTGTCTGTTCTTTCTCTTTATTTATATATATATATATATATATATATATATATATATGTATACATACACACACACACACATATATATATATATTTATATATATATATATATATATATATATATGTTCAAATTAATAATGGATTAGATGTTCGATCCCTATTATTCTCAAGTACTTTCGGTGAAAATAATCACCATCTTCAATTAATAAAAACAAGGATAGTGTCGTTCAGCGAGTGGTCAGTGAGTTAATGCTTTCTTATTCTGTAAGCGAAATGAATTCACCATTAATTCAGTCAGTCAGTTATGTGCCATGCGTGATACGCGCTTTGGCGATCATGTATCTTTCGATACATGACTGACGAGGCAGATTTTTCTCGCATTAGGTTGCCAATTATTTTTGCGGTAGACCAGTTGCCATCCAAGGCTATAGAACCCGGTCTGTCCTGCTATTTACCCATAGCTGGGATGGGGGAGACGAAGAGGATTCAGATCTTTCCCAAGGTTACTATTTAGCACGTAAGTGAATGTAATGCTTCGACTGGAATTCAAGCTCAGCTCTTTTTGCCATTAATTGCATTAACTTTATTGATTTATTCTTTGAATGACTATATATATATATATATATATATATATATATATATATATATATATATATATATATATTTATATTTCGTACTCAGGTAATATGTTCAACATTAATTGGAATGAATGGCAATGTGAAGGCATATTTTATTTCATTGTCTGCACTTCAACAATCAATATTTCTAACCACCAAGTCTTTTCTTACTCTTATTGAAAACATTATCATAAAATGCTTGCCGTCAAAGCTTCCAGCCATTGTGTCTAGATAACGACAAAAATTATTAGTTTATGGCGTTATTGTCAAATTTATAAATTAACTCTCCATCCAATTTCATTCTTCCACTTGCTTTTCCTTTCTTTCCTCATTTAGTCGCTTTTCTGCTTCACTTTTCATTTTTTTATGTCGACACTGGCTGACAGTTGTCTAGCACTCTCGCGATCCCCACCCACAGAGAGAGAGAGAGAGAGAGAGAAAGAGAGAAAGGAGTCATGCGCACGTAAAGTTATTTTCATTGTTACACTGGACAACAGCTGAAAGTGTTCTATCGTTTCGAGAGATTTATTTCGGCATATTTGGATCCGGACTCGGGTCTCCGACAAGGGTGTTCATTCAACAGGGTTCAGACTTAAGTAGACAAAATATCTGAACTGATTGACATTCAGGATTGAAAGCATTTCATTTCTTCTCTTTCTGTGTCCTTTCTTTCTCTTTCACTCTCTCTCTCTCTCTCTCTCTCTCTCTTTCACACACACACACGCACACACACACATGTCAGAAAATGTTTAAAACCTAAAAAAAGATGTTAATTTCCATGATTATACTTATATGCTATCAATATTTACGAGAAATGTCCCAAAAGCTTTGTGTCAAACGTTTTTAATGACGTGACAATCGGAAAGAAAAAAAATAAAAACTACTTCCGTTTTATAGAAGTTCCTCGATTATCCGTACTTCTATTTTCCGAAATTTGGTTTATTCGGACCGGAAACGAAGAGCAAAATTGAAATCATCCGAACATTTTTCAATTATCTGAATTAAACCCATTCTAATATTTCATCGCAGACAAACATTTTAAGAATTTCTAAAAACCATGTTCAACGTAAAATAAAAAACGCTGATGAAATAAGTTCAATTAATTCTTGTTAATTTCTTTGTTGTTTTCATACAAAGAACTTACATTTGAATTATCACTCGAAATAAATTACCGGTTCAATGAAGACGGCCCCGGGTATGAACACCTAAGTGACCAGGGTATTGTTGAACTTCTAACCGCGCCGGAAAATGTTGAAGAGGAGGAGAATGATAATGATATTGCCCATGTCGAAGTTTAACAGCCCCAATACCTAATTTCAAACACTGAAGCAATGATTATGTTTGACAAATGTTTAAGTTGATTGTGCGTTCAACCAGAAGCTACCTTTACAAATACATCTACTTTAATCCAGTTTTGGGAGTTAGCAGCAGAAAAAAGCGAGGTCAGCCGGAAACAAACAAAAAAACTGACGCATTTTTTTTTTCTTATAAAAAAATATACTGATCACAATTTTGAAGAAATCTCTGAAAATGTAATATGATAATATGAATGCTAAATTTATTTCGGAAAAATATCTTATTTTCCTTCATTTTTTCCAATAATTTAGACGTTCAGTTATCCTGATTTTTGAATTATCAGAACATATTTTCACCCCCTGTCTCAAGGTGTCCGGCTAATCGAGGAAGTACTTTATTTTTTGACAAATTCTTTTAATTTTTAGGCAAAACGTTGCATTTTGCAAACCGACTTGACCACAGTTTGTCTTCAAGGGATTTCTAACCCTAACGACATTTAGTAGCCCGATATCGAACCGTTGTATAAGTAGGACTGCGCTCAGAGCAGATATTTTGCATGTAATTGTAGATTTCCTAAAGAATTATCAAAACATTTTTTCACCCCATATCCCAAAGTGTCCGGCTAATCGAGGAAGTACTTTATTTTTTATTTTTTGACAATTTTTTTTAATTTTTAGGCAAAACGTTACATTTTGCATACCGACCTAACCACCGTTTGTCTTCAGGGGATTTCTTACTCTGACGACACTTAATAGCCTAACGTCGGACCGTTGCATAAGTAGGACTGGGCTCAGAGCAGACATTTTGCGTGTAATTGTAGGTTTCCTAAAGCGCAAATTGTTTCAGAGTCAAGAATTCAACAATTGCAAAATGCATCGATTTCTAATTCTGTTTTTGCGTGCGCAGACAGAGTGTCAAAAGGCAAAATGACGAATGGACAAAATGTCGAACGGAGAAAAGGTCGAACGGACAAAGTGTCGAACGGACAAAGTGTCGAAAACAAAATGTCGAACGAAAAAAAAAAAAAAAAAAGAGTCGGATTGACTAAATGATGGAAGGGCAAAAATGTGTCTACAATAGAATACCTTTTACTTAACATGCAAGTATCCTGCGGGTAAATTATTATTTTAAAATTTTAAACTAATATAAAAACCGACGATGAAAAAAAGTAAATTTTCTACATAATTGTTAACGTTTACGAACTGGGATCTGCATTCAAACTATAATAGAGTTAAATTTTTTATTTATGAGAAATTACAACGGTAGAAAAATATAATTTAAGATTGTGAGCGATGGCTTTAAGATATTCTAATTCAGTACTAATGTCTTATCTATCAAAAATACCTTTTAGTCTTTGGTTTACTGTTGTATATTTTTGTATTTTCTTTCGGCATCTCTAGTTCGACTCTTTTCTCGTTCGGCACTTTGTCTTT